TGGCTCGTCGCAGCGAGAACCTGCGGGACAAGTTCGTGGAGATCCCCTGCTCCGAGGACTACGACAGCCACAAAAGATTCGAAGGTATTTGGATAAGGTCGTTAGAGGCGGGATGAAGCGTAGCCAGGACAGGCCCAGTGTTGTCTTAACTCTGTTAAACCAGATGTGTGCTTGCACACCTGCATGTCTGGCAAACACCTGGTCGCTGTGCGTGTTGTTTAAAGCTCTGAATGTTCGTGCCTTTTTGGGCCAGAAGTAGTTGTGTCTGAGAGATTTTTCCATCTTTCGTATGTAATTCTCTTCTGAAACTACTTTTTTTAGGCTGTGTGAAGTAAACTTTTTTGCTAAACCTGTTTCTGGTATCTTGCATACTCTGTTGGTGGCTGTGGTGAGTTTGTTACTGGCAAATACCATGAAGGGTAAGGAAGGGAATTGCCCTAGGATATTGTCTGTGCTGCTAGATTGTCTTAATTACACAGAAAGCAGCTTCTGATACACCTGTTTTGGAGGGAGGGTGTGCTGGCAGCCTTTGCTGCTGCCTGCAGAGCGTTTCTCCTCTGTCTGTCTTTCAGCTGAGCCTGGTTTCTGTCAAATGGGTATTTGTCTCCCCTAGCATTTATTGCTTTGGAGTGTTGATATTGCATCTTCTAAAGAAATGGAAGATTGTTCTCTTTTTCTCATGAAAAGCAGCAAGAAAATAGTAATTTGCATGACTAGGCTATGCTGATGTTGTCTTTCAGACTTGCAAAGTGTATCTTGACGAATGTTTTGAACTGGTACTGCTGCCAGAGAGCTCTTACTTTTTGTCACCCTACCTGTAGGTCTAGCAATGTCTCAGCTCATAAACTGTTGGATCTAAAAAAACCCATAAATTGATAATTCTGAGTTAGTTTTTATCCAAGTCTGTTCTCTGGTTTGTTACATGGCTGACAAAACACTTGCTCACGGAAAGGTGGAGGCAGTATGGAGGCTGGAAACAGCTGCTTGGAGCTGAGGAAGAACAAAGGTGATCAAAGGGCTGGAGAACCTGCCCTGTGAGGAAGGACTGAAGGCTGGAGGAGTTAAGTCTTTTCTCCTGGAGAAGAGAAGGCTTTGGGGGGACCACATCATGGTGTTCCAGTACTTAAAGGGCAGCTCCTAAGAGTATGGGGGCTTTTCCTTCCCAAGGGACTGTGAGTGCAAGGTTTCATCTTGATATGAGAGAGACTTTTCTCAGAGAGAGAGCAGTCACCGCGACATCTTCCCCCAGGGAGCCTCAGTGAGAGGAGGTTTTCAAGATGTGGTTGGATGGGATGTTAAGTAACCTCATCTAGGTTCCCTTTCCCACAAATGCTGGGTGATCTTTTGAGGTACCTTCCAACCCGGGCTGTTTCTATGATGCTACAATTTCTAACTTTCTTCCAGTGCCAGTTCTGGTAAGAGCCCTGAAGCTGTGGAGGTAATTTCCCTTCCTTTCTTCAGGTGGCTGATGCTTTTGGTCAGAAGCCTTGTAATAAAACCAAAGCTTGTGTAGTCTGTGCTCAGGGAGCTTTTCCTCAGTGCTGCTACTGTAGCGTCTTCTTGGAGGTTTCATCCCACATATTATTGAGGCCAAGAAAACTGCTATCAGGAAGCTACTGGCAAGAAAACTTCCTTTTAATTTTATTTTTTAGTTTTAATGAGCATATGAAAAAATGCATTTGGTTTTAACTTTTCATAGTTACTGTAAGGAGAAACGTCTGACTTTGTGTGACACCAAGGCCAGAGGAATCTCTAGCCAGTGTTGCTGCAGCTCTGGTAGTTACAACTGAACTAAGGCTAAAAGTGTCTGCACTCTGTGCTTTTGTGTATCAAAAGAAACCCCCTAAACCTAAACCAACAAAACTTATTTTTTCTGTTTCCTGGGTCGCAAGGGGAATTTTTTGAGCTGTGGATTTATGGTCTTGGCAACTCCATCAGTTATTCCTTCAATCGGAAGGAAGGCAGGAACTTCAAGAGTGTCTCTGCTCAGGAAGAGGAAGGAATGTGTTCTCTATTTTAGTGATGTCATGGGGGCAGGTGCTGACTCCGGGGAGAAGTGTGACCTCTCCTGGCTTTGTGCGAGGACGCTTGACACGGTGTGAGTTTGTATTCCAGCTTTCTGCTTAGATGCTTGCATGAATTCTGTGGTTGATTTTAGGTTTTCGCAGGTGGTTTTGTGCCCCCCCTACATTTTGTTTTCAGGAAGGGATCAATGGCGCTAGAAATGTGCGGATACCTGTTAAGTGGTTAACTGAAGCTGTGCTGCGATAATGAACTCTTGTTTTTTCACCTCTTGTCTCCCGGTGGGTGCCCGCCAGGGGGTGGCGGTGAGCTGCTGAGCCTTGCTGCCTGGCCAGGCTGAGCTCCTTGCTCCACCCGGGGGTTACTGATGGTTTGGAGAGGCAGTAAATGTGGATTACGATTTTCTGCCAAACTGGAATCAGCTCTGGAGCTTCAGTCCCTTTATTGGAAAAGGGCTTCTATCACTCAATAGCTCTTCGTTCTCTGTCTACTCTGGCTTGACATCCCCAGCGGCTGGCTCTGTGTCAGGAGGAGGCACATTCCTCTCATCACTTGGTGTCTGATGCTCAGCTGTAAAGTTTCCACAGCGAAGATGAGTTTTTTATTTATGCACCTATCCCTGCTTCAAACTGAACTCGTGCAACCAAGCTTTTGGTTTGCTTCAAATAATATGGGGGTTGGTGTCACAAAGCAGTGATTTTATTTCCATTGCATTGCCTGGCAGTAAGCAGAGCCCATACAGAAACGAAATGCCTTATTCTTTGGAGGCCAAGCACTTATTACATTTGCAGAGGGTGGGCTGTTCTGAGAGCACAGTCCCATCCGTGTGCTGAACCCTGCAGCCAGATCTTGGCTATTTCTTCTGTCTTGAGATGGGGTTAACTGCTTAACACTCCTGTGGCTACTCGTGTATCTCATGAAATCTCTGTATAGTCGTTTATTTGTGCTGACATGTTGTGTCAGTGTACAAAAGCATCTCTGATCGCTGCCCGGGAGGCAGCTTTTGAGATTCTTTTCCAGAGGCTGGATCAGTGGGTGTAAAGCAGAGAAGTCCGAGCTGTGGAGCAAAAGGCCCAGGACTGAGACTGCCGGTGTGGTTGTGGGGATGGCATCCAAATAATCTTTACTTTCCCTTGTCCTGCTTTGTGAGCTCTCCTTAAGCAATCCATCTCCGTGTGGCTTTTTTTCTCACTTGAATAACCCCTGTCTTGGCAGTGCATGGTTTTGGGCCAAGTGCCACTTTAAGTAGAAGGCAAATCTGCCATTCAGGTAGTTGGACCCCGGTGTTCTGCTCTGTTTTCTGTGTGCTGAATAGGAGTAGGGGCCGTCAGGAGTACTTGTGGTTTTGCATGTGTTGGTGTCCTTCTCCTTTGTCTTGATTAAAAAAAAAATACACATGGTGATTGTCATTCTGTAAATCTTTTGAGTGACTCTTCTGGTGGCAAATGAAATGTTTGAGATGTTTTTTCTTCAGTTCAGGGAACCCAAAGTGCTTCCTCTTTGGCTGTTCTTTTTGTATACATCTGAGTTTTAAAATTGGGTGCTGGAAGCTGTTCCTGCCTCTGCCATCTGTCTCTCTTTGGGTGAGTGTTTGCTGGCCTGGAGGCAGAGATGTCTTATCCCTGTCAATTGGCGTTGGAGATGCTTTTCAGCCTGGCCATGCTCTTCATCGTGGCGTTCCAAAGCCAATAACTGATCTTAATCCACTGCTGCTGGACGGGTGATGGAGCCTTCAGAGCGCAGCAATGTGAGATGTGTATGGCTTTGCTGGGCTGGACAAGAAACACTTGGAGCATTTGCTGCCCACTACTTGTTGCTTTGTAGAACTGTTGGGTCATATGCTCCGAAGGAATGCAGCAACGTCTGAAGTGTTTAACTTGCAAGTTGTTGGGTCCTGAAACCGATATTCTGGAAATGGCTGCATGTTTCAAAACCTGTGCCTTGCTTTTCTGGTTGCAGAGGGGATGTTTGCAGTGTGCCTGAAACGTGACACAGAAGGTCCCCCCCTCTCTACTCCTTCCCCTCCCAAATTTGTACCTTGTAACAACTTTCTGCCTGTAAAGCCCATGTGGGTTTATGCTTGTTGGAATTCTTTACCTTTGGGGCTGGTGCTGTGTGGGAAATTAATGTGCAGTGCACCTTTGGGTTGCTGCCAGAATTTTTGCTGTTTTTTATTGATATCAAGGCACTGTGATTTCTGATGTTTTGATTCTGTTCATATCTTTAGTTTCCAGGGTCAAGAGCAGAAAAGTGAGCTGGGGGAGCAGGAGGTTCTGGTTCTTTCATGTCCCAGTGCTGGGTTCTGTGCTGGCATTAATAAATGGATAATTACTGAAGTTGATTTTTAATCCCATGCTAGGATTTTTGCAGCAAACTGGTAAAGACATAACAAACTTAAGGCTCTTAAGGCTTCTTCTCAGATCAACAGGAAGACTAGTTGGGTTTTGAGGGTGTGCCATCGCTGTGCGTTTTGCTGAACCTGGATGCTGGAGGCCCGGGGTCGCACGTGACAGCGGCGCTGCTTTGGGTGCTGAGATTCATCCTTTTGAGATTCATCTCCATTCTGCTGAACTGTGTTAGGAACCTTACAGGAAGTAACTTGTCAGCTTTGCTGGTGTCCTTCAGGCGCATTCGAGCTGTGATTACAAGCCGCTGCAGCGGGGAAGGTGATGTAGCTTAGTTGATTTCCTGGGGAATCTGCGCAGAAGTGGCAGTGATACCGACTGGCTTGTCTTCTCTGAATGTGGCACAAAACACCCCAAAATGGAGATGTAACTTTCTTGGAGTTTGTTCTAAAATATTCCAAGATTGCTAATATCCCTTCTGAGTGCTGGGAATCAGAGGAGTAGGAGAATATGAACAGAAGCTTGTTTTGAACTTTGCTTGAAAGGTGATTTTTTTTTAATTACTCTTTGTGTTCCAGGGTGCACTCCTAGAAAGTGCGGAAGAGGTGTGACCGATGCAGTAATCTCAAGGGAAGAAGCTGAAAGAATCCGTAGGTAATCTTTGGTTGGCTTTTTCTGTAATGACAGCGTGCTAGTGTTTAAGGTGTTGCACAAAGCTCACTAGCTGAAGGAGAGCGGGTTAAGTTGGTTAAAAATAAACTTCTTTCCATTTTTGCTGTAGTGGAGACAATTCTCTTTCATACAGTCTGCGTAGCCTAGCTCGGTGGGGCATAAGTGTTGTAGAGAGAAAAAAGGAAAATGAATTAAGTTTAAAGGACTTTCACTTGGCCTTCTGTTCTGTTCCGTTTGGCCTTTTAAAAACAGAACAAATGAACAAAAGCCTCCTTTCAGCTGTGTCTGTTTCTGGGTAATTATGAGGTAGTGCTGGCCCTGGTGCCCTCTGTGAGCACTAAGTGGTGACTTTTAATGAAATAGTAGGGGTTGCTGTCACGTTACACAGTTAGAAAAGTTACCGGCCTCCTGGAGTGTGATTTGCACTTCATCCTCCCGGTGGGGAATGTCACTGTAAAACCCCAAGCGACGTGCAGTGGGCCGAGGGCTTTGCTCGCTGGGCACGCCGACCGCTCTGCGATTGCAAATTCAGCTCGGCTCCTGGTTTTGATTCAGAGTTCTGTATTAGCCACGTTGATTTGTGCTGCCCTTAATCTGTTTGTTTCGGTTTTTTTTGTTTTTACTGTGTGTGTTTAATCTTACCTAGTCAGAATATTTTAAAGACAGTGGTTTTGGGGATGTGTGGAAGGGGGCTACAAACTCAGAAATGTTCTGCAGTGTAGAACCAGGCTGTGAAATTCTGTTTCAGATAAACTGCAGCTTCGGTGAGCTCAGTCGGGTTGTCTGATGCATCAAATGCCACTTACTGAAGAGTTACATATTGTAAATGATGACTTTAAAGGACAAAGTAATCAGAGTTCAGTTCTCATCTGAGGTTATTGTTTTGCCTGCAGAGTAGCAGAGAGGGGACTGTCCTTGGGAGGATCTGATGGAGGGGTGAGCAGTGTCCTGTTACTTTTTACTTTCTTTTTACTGCCAAGGCAAGATTTTAAACGCATTTTTGGGGTTTGAGGAGAGGAGGTGGAAAATTTTTCTTCCCATTCAGACTTGGAAAAATTGTTTGGAAAGTTATTTTATCACCCAGTAATCTTTCTGTTAGCAGTGTAATTTGTGACTTCTACAATACAGTTCATATTTCCTATTATTCAGTTTAGTTATTTGTAGCACCTCTCAAAGTTATTTTTTGACTTCTCCATGTGGAAATGAGTGCTACAGCAGAACTGCACAGTTTAATTTCTGAAACTAAATTACGTTGGGTCACAGCATCATGTAAAGATTGGTTTTATGTTGTGACAAAAGTGCTGTGTAATGACTCAGGTAGATATTTTAATAATATTTTAAAAAGAAAAGGAAACCACTTCTGAAAAGCATGCTTGTTTCAATTTCTTTCCCCATCTTTGTCCTCGGGGTATTTTTGTGTATGAACAGAAACTGTTCCTTGAGTATTTGCAAACACAACTTCTTTAGGCCTCTCCTGAATTAGGATGTATATTAGCAGAAAAGGAGAAAGGTTTCAGTGAAGAAGTAAGATTTTAATCCTTCTGGTTGCTGAGAAAGATCTGTAAAAAGTATAACCCAGGAAAGTTAAGCGGTGTTGCCCATCTGAAACAATATTTAAAAGATTTAACATTCTCTGTTCAGTTCTGTCAGAATCCCTTGGACTTTTTTTTTTTTCCAGTTCTGTGGTTGCATAATTTGCTGCTTTGCTTGTATTCCTCAGCCTGGTGGGGCCTCTGGCTTACCTCCTGCCATTACTGTTGTCAAGTGGGCTTCCTGTCCCGTTCTTTTGGGCCCTGTGGGTGGTTTTTTCATGAGACTTCCCCAAAGAGGGGTTGGAAGGGCAGTGTGTAACAGCTTCATGGATTTGGACTGCAGAAAGCTCATGTCCAGCTGGGGATCAGGCAACTGGGGAAACTGAGGCAGAGAAAGCTTAGAAGAGACATGAGCTTGCCTCTCGAGCTTCAAGCCTGCTTGTTGCTTTAAATTTCTTAGGCTTTAGAGTGCTTGGATAATGCTATTCAGTTATGTCTGTTCTAAGACTTATTTTTTTTTCCTTTAAAAAAAATCTTTAACTCCTGCCTGTTGAATTATTTTTAATTCTTTCTTTAGCCACTTTGATCTCTCCAGTATTCCAAACAAAACTTCTTCAGACTTTGACTGGAGCGCAGACTGTATTTTCATGGGCTCTGATTTCATGGGTAACCTGTTTTTAAGCTACAGGTCTTTTTTTTTTTTTTTTGGCAGTCATACTTTTTATATTTTATTCACAGAAATGGATTTGTGTCTGGATACAATTTATTAAAAGACCTGAACTTGCAGTTTTTGACTCTGTCAGTTCTCCCCTGGCTTCGCCCTTTCTGCTTCCTTGGAGGACTGAAGTATGTCACAAAAACTTGTTTCCCTTTTCATCCTTTTGTGCTGCGAAAGTCCTGCCAAACATCTGAATTATTGAAATCTCCCAGGAGTCATGCCCTGGTTGTCATGCTGAGCTTTCTCGTCTTCCTTTGTAATTTTTTAGACTTATTTTTATTTACGTGCACACAAGTGAGACTAGAAGAAGCTGTTGTAGTCTTCTAGTCCAACTCCCAACAGAATCCAAACAAGAGGATCTTCACCTGTGCTGCTTTCCCATGTATGTGTCTGCCTGTAAAACAGTTTTATACTTTGTTTGTCGTTCACTGAATGTGCATTGCATCAGATCTCTTGGTGTTTGCCTCAGCTTAGGTTTTTCTGTTCTTTATAAAATGACTTTTTCTTCCCTACCTGCTATTTTCTTGCACGCTACCCCTGCTTGCGTTACCACTTCAGCCGTGACTCACTCATTCACGTCTTTGTAGGTGCTGCCATCATAACATCTCCCCAGTGTAAATGAAATGATTCATTTACTATCAGATCTATTTGCATTCATTTAGAAACTCGAGAAAAGAAATCCCTTGGTACAGCTGCTGTCTGTATTTTGGCAGGAGTAGCCATTAGCCCTCCTCCCTTTTGCAGGCAAAAACTACATCTCTTAATCGCTGGGAGAAGTGAACAGCCCATGTAGCTGCGATGCCACTGCAGGTTTCGTGCACAGAACAGTGTTTCTGCAGACCATATCCCTCCTTATTGTGCTTTCAGTCCTCCCAACCAACAGCTGAAGTCCTCGCTGTCAGCTCTGTGTTTTCCAGGGAGAGGAAGATAAATCCTTTGAATACTTGTCCTGTCTCATAGTGCTACTACAGGCTGCATAGCTTCCTTCCTAATTAGCCCCCTGCTAACGCCTGGGAAACACACACTGGTGAGGAGAGACGGACCTGACGGCGTGACTTTCCCTTGTCTTACAGCTGTGGTGGTCCTGTGAGTGTCCAAGCTTTACTCCAGGAAGCTGGAGAGAACCTGGCTGTGGGTGACGGTCCCTGGTGTAAATGTGTCCTGCGCTCCAGAGCCAGACGCTGTGTTGAATTTCCACAATACAACCTGTCCCTCTGGCCGTCTGAGCGATGTGTGAATTAGCTTGGTTGTATTTGTATCTCATAATTAATTGCTGTAACTTTGAAGGGGTGTTACCCTAAGAAAAAACCCTTGCTCTCAAGTAGGGAAGGGTGTTTAGAGGTGGTGGTGTTTTGGGAGTCTGTGTAAGACAGCTGGCAGGGACAGCAGGCTTGGAGCTGCCTGGTGGTTGGTGGCCGTGTAAGGTGGCTTCTGGTGCCCTTCCCATGGGCTGGTTGAGCCCTCCCTTGGGAGGGGCAGGGAAAGGTTCGAGCGCTGCTTTAGAGAAGGAGAATTAAGTTTCTGCATTTTGTTCTTTCAGGCAGCGTGTTGGCAGTTCTTTAAAAGTGTTATTTAAAACTTTTTAGGGGGTAGAGGAATTGCTGTAAAAGTAGGTTCTGAAAAGAATGTGCACTTAATGGTTGGCAATCCCTTTTAGTGAGGATCAAAGCAGGACCTGTCATGCTCTGCAAGATGGGGAAATGGGTCCTTTGTGCCACGTGCTGAGAAAAGGTGGCTACTTGGTGTTCTTTTTGAATCCTTTTAGCAGTGAGAGGGTGGAGAATTGGGGACTAGCGATACTGAAGGTCCCAGGGAACACGTACTTATGCTGCTTTTGGGTTTAAAGAAGTTCGAATTTCTTTCTATAGAAGTTCTGTAAATCAGGGTATTGGGGTAGCTCAGTCAAACAATCTCCTGGAAGTAGGTGCGTGGGTGTGTTTGCGGTGTTCCTGCCATCCGTATCTAAACTTTGTAAGAGCTTTTGGCCTGGAAACACCGACCTGAGTTGCAGCTGACCCTTGGTCAGATCGCTGCATTTGCAGTGGTGGGGTTGGCACAGGCTTCCAGCAAGGTGTTCTCCTCTGTGTAGGAAATGATGCTGAAAATTTTTACTGTTCTGAAATGATAGAGGCCAAAATAAATGGGTTCCAGTTTCTTTCCAAGGTAGCTGTTAAACAAATAGCTCTGTGCTCATGTGTAATCAAGTCCCCATCTACGTTTGGTGTTATTTTCCTCTGTCTGAAACAGGCCTGAAGACTATACTTTCATTTTCAGTCTTCATTTGGCTCTTCTAGGCTTTATTTTGTAGCTGTTATATCTTCAGTTATGAATACCTGCGGTTCTTGGGAGTGTTTTTTATTGATTCATTTGGTTATTTTTGGATTTTCCCAACTGTAATCATCTGGAGCTTGAGGAGTGAGAAGAAATATGTATGTTTGGAAGGCATATTTAAAGTATTTGAAAGGCAACTTCGTTTTAAATGAAATTCATCTTTTTGAACGTGTCCTGCTACTTCTCCATATAATCTACTTTAACATGATCACAAGTATATTTTTTGAAGCTACCTGGGAGCAGTTTTGCTTCTAGCTGTAGCTTAGGCTATTGTACAGAAGCAGAAACCAATAAATGAAAATATTTTGCTTCTGAAGCTTGAGCAGGCTTATTACAAGAACTGCTTCTGCGTGACTGAGATTCCTTGTTTCCGTAACGGTCCCCTGAAGCTTTTTGAGAACTGTGGGAAGCAGAGGTCTGAAAAGCTCATGCTATGCCCACTTGAATAGCTTGTCACTTTATATATTTTTAGAGTGGCAAATAGCATTGTTTGGGTAGATTTATTAAAAGAAGGTTGTTACAATTCCTTTTAGAAAGGAGACTTGAGTGGAGTTCCCCTGACTCAGCTCTAAAGCTCGGAGCGATTGAGCCCACAGCAGTTTTCCTTTGCTGAGAGGTTGTTGGGGGTGTCTTCCTCCAACATGATCCAGAGGAGGAGGAGGGAGAAAAGTGCCCTGGGACCAGGGGTGACAGTGGAGCTGTGCCGGTGCCACCAGCCTGGCCTTGCGGCTCCCACCCGGCGCTGCCGGGAGAATTTCTTGCTGCTCGATTGCCACCATGTCTGCGTTTGGGTAACGGTGGCTCCGGACTGCTCTGTCCCAACCGTGCCCAGAAATTCTTGTTGGAAGTTACCATTCATTCCAGGCAGTGCTATTCGTATTGTTTGGGGTTGGTTAGAATAATGAGAATAGTATGTGGTGCATCAGGAAATGCCAAATTCCAAGATGAGTGCTTTTGCCTGGATTTTTTGTATCAAAGTCGTCATTACTTTGGTGCTGGTCAGGTTAATTAGCTGTTGCTACTTGCTATTTCCAGTATAAAAAAAGGCTACTATTACACAGTATTTAAAAATATGACTGTTTAACTGATGCAAAACAAACATGTATTTTGTGGGCAGCAAGGGACACACAAAAATGTACTTCGTTAAGTTTAGAGGCAGTTCGCTGTCCTGGTGAATCTGAATATTAGTCTTTTTTGCTTGGTTTGGGGCTCAGGAGAAGTGTTTGGCTTGAATTAGATGGAGAAATAGATTGAATTTTCATATGCGAAAGCTTTTTTTTCACTCTTTGATTTTCTTTTACAGTGGTTTAGAAATTGAGGAAAAGAAAGATTTTTGGCTCTAGTAAGCCTTAGAATTCTAATTGTTCTTCTAAACAGACTTTTATGTCTGTATTAAATATGAGAAGTATCCCGGAACTCCTGGTGAAGGAGAAGTTTTAATAACAAATGTTAGGCAAGATAAATATTAGTGCTGCTATTTGAGTGCTTCACAAATATTGGAAAATTAGTCATCTTTGTGTGGAAGGGAAATGCCTTCAAGGAGGGATCCAAGAACATGGTGCTTTACCTCTGGCCCATGGAGGAAGACTCTGGCAATTCTCTATGTTGGATTGAATCTCAGGGACAGCAGATCTATTTGGTTTTTCTTAGTACCTCAATATTTTGTGCATCTCTACAGCAAATTGAGGGAGACTTGTAGTCATGAAGGAAGCATTAATATTGCAAATCCAAATGCTAGAAAATAATATTATACTTGGGAGGCTGTGGAAGGGGAGAGCCAACTTGGGACAGTTATTAAAGGCTGTAGTTAAATAATGATAAAACCTTTTCATGCTCATTTTTCCTGCCCTTTTTTTTTGTTTCCCTTCCCAGGCATCAATTCTGGACTTGCACTCTGGAGCTCTTTCACTGGGGAAGCATTTTGTTAATCTGTACAGGTAAAATGGGGCTGTGGCTTGCTGCCTCTCTTGTTATCCTACACTCAAATTCTCATTGCCTGTTTGAATTTCTCAAGCCCTGTGGGCTGGGGTTAGTAATGACAAACTGTAAAATTTGGTCAGATTCACCACAGTTTCCATGACCAGTTAAAGAGCTTTTGTGGCATGAAAACCGATCCTTTGTTGAATTGGGCTTTTTGAGAGCTACCATTACCTTTATTTTCAGAGTTCTTCCTGCACCAGTAAATAATAGTATTTTTTTCACAGTTATAGTCTGGTTCGTCAGCAGTGGAAGAGATCAGGTAGTCTGAACTTTTAAAAAAATTGAATCCACATGCTCATTTCATAATGTGGGAGTGAACTTTTTCATGCCTGAGGAATTCCATTATCAATTGCTGAATCTTGATCCTTTGATCTTTTTAACATTTAAACTTTCAGCAGTGCTTTTGGAACATAATGCTCAAAAGCATTTGTAGGATTTCTTATTTGTTGGATTTTCACTTTTTAATTGCGGATAAAACACAGGTGGGGGTGAGAAGTCATCTTAGTGTTACTTGGGCAGTTGGATACAAGAACTCTTTCAGAGCGTTGTCTAATTTTTCAGGTACTATGGGGACAAAATTCAAGACATCTTCACAGAAGAGGATTTTGCATTATATCGGTAAAGATTTTTCAATAACTACCGAATGAACCACAGGACATGACTTGGAGGTTTTTTTTGCCGGATTGGGAGGGAGTTGTCCTTTGGATTCAAACATACAGTTGAATTTGCAGCGTAAAACAGTCATCTGTGAGAACCAAGATGCCTTGAGAAAATAAATAAAAAATTTTTCCTGACTATCTGATAAATAACATTCTGCTTTGAGCTTAGCTGCAGTGTCAGGACAGCGGTGATGGTGTAAACATAACCAGAGCGACGCTGGCACTGCACGTTTCCCTTTCTGCCTAAGGGCTGGATGCCAGCCCTGCGGGCAAGGTGAGCTTCGTCTGAGGTCTGTGGTTATTTTGCAGAACATTATAACTGGGATGTAAATCCTTCAGTAAGAACTCCTACTTCACACACGTTACCCAAGAGCTGTTGTGTTAGAGACAATCCTACGCTGTTATGACATTAGGAACTTGAGGTTTTTTGGACGAAGCGTGACAAAACATTACAAATAATAAAGTAGGAAAGCACCTCAGTTTACTAATGTTCTTGTTAGAGCAGCAGAGCACGCTTTGCCCCTAAGAAGCCAGTCTATGAAACAGTGCTGTAATGGAATGGCTTTGGCATCTGATGCTTTTAGCTTTCCTGCAGACCTGCTCATATACTTAACGAAGACAACAAATGTAACTAATTTTGTGTGTTTGAAGGCCAAAGCTTAGGAACAGGCATTCGTTGTTGACTAGACACCATAAATGTTTAGCTGTGCATTTCAGTGGCTTTCTCACAGTTTAAAATGTACCTGGCCTGAGCATTTTAACTCTTCTTGGATTTTTTTTCTTGCCTTTCTGAAGGAATCTGACCTCCCTCTAGTGGTGGAAATAGTATTAAGTAGCCAAATAGGCTAATTAGTTTTATTAGTGTAGTAATTTTATTTGTCTTTAAAATATTAACCACTTAAAGCTTACTTGTGTTCAACAACTGTTTTTAGATACCGTCATCTTTATAGATGAACTTCTTTTAAAGGTACTTACTTCTGCCCCCAAAATCACAAAAATGAGACGTTTCTGGGATTCTTGTTGAACTTTTGACTATATAAAGAAGATATAGTTTGTACTTCACCAAGATAGTGGAGAATATTTAAAAAATAGTCTGGTTTGCATTCCATTCATTAGGAAACACGAATATATGAAGGGTGTATCTTAATAAACAATATTTCTGTTGAAAACCATTCAGTTTTTCAATAACTTTTAAGAATTTCTGATCTTTCCACTGAGATGAGACAGCTGCTAGGGAATATCAATATTCCATTAGTATTTCATGCCAATATGGGTGATGTTTCAGTCTGCTGGATACAAATCTAATACAAAATGTATTAAATGCTTCTGTTCACATTAATGACAGTGCTTCAACGTGCACTGAAGTACCGTATGTCCGTAATGAACGATTTTATGCTATTCATGGGAGCATTTATCTTCATTATTTTTACTTACCTACGAAGGTCAGTTTAAAAATACACTCTTGAGAGAAATAACTAAATGTTATTCCTGTCTAAGCATTACTGATGGCAACACTAACAAATCTGAGTAGGCATTTTGAGCCAGGAGGCTGGTTTCTAAGCTGTCTCTGTCAAAATTATGTTGCTTCACAATCAATTTTGGTTTCCATGCTGGTGCTTTAACCACCGTCTGCCAAGCACATTACAGCAATTCCTCCTGTTTCATATAATAAATGCATCTTTATCCAGAAGAGAGACCTTTAAATCTGGATGCTTGGTTTAAGAGTTGTGACTTAGCAGAAAATGACAACATCAAAGATTTATTCTAAAAAAATCTGACCACATATTAAGGTGGACACACAAAATGAGCAGAGGAAGAGCTGGTTGTGAACCTTCTCTTTATTCATTCTGCACGTGTGATTTCTGTTAAATTCCTGGCTGGAGAAGAGCATTGCTTCGTCTGCTTCTACTGCCTTTGCTGCTCTTCACTGGGAACAGTGTGGAGATGCTGACAAGTGGGCTAGTTTTGTAAAGCTTTGTGTTCCTGTCACCAGACTCAAATCACACTTTGCAGTGACTCCCAACTGCATTTTTTTGCTGGTCTGGCAGAGCTTCTGTCTTACAGAAACTTTTCTGTAGCACTTCTAGTTCTTTTACTCGATCCTTTATGCTGCTGCTGATCCAGTAAGCTGGCAGCTGTGCGATCTAGTGAACATCCTTTCTCCTAAGTTCTGTGTTCCTTACACTTCTAGCTACTTCCTGGGCTTTTCTTCTTCCTCACCACCCGGAGTCCAAAATAGATTTTACTAACTGCCTTTACAGAAGGTGGTCAGAAACTCTTTCCAGCGAGTTCTGTTCTGCCTTTTCCCAAGTCCAGCCTTTGCATTTTGATATTATCTGGTGACTCAGTGCAAATATACAAGGAGCGTTTATATCCTCTTCTTGTTTTCCTGTCTCCCAAGAAACACTGGAATACCCAAGGTAGAAACAATATGTTGAATCTTTGAAAATAGTTGGTGAAGATGTCTTGCATTCATTTTGAAGGAAAATCTCGTTATGATACCAATGCATATGTTGACTGAAAACCCTGAGGTCTGTGGTGCCAGAGTTGTTATTGTTTTTTAACCTTCATTTTTCAGTAATTAATGAACAATGAGATGTAAATGTTTTCAGGAAGACAGATTGTTTACACAAAGGAATTAGATTAAAAAAGAACCCTAAGCAAACAACAACCCCAACCCATGAGAGAGAGTTTTTTATTGGAGTAGTACGTCTTTACTTAAGGCAAAATAAGAGAGAAAGTAGGACTATATGTTCTCCTTGATTTATTAGCTAAGGAAGAAACGTAGCTCTGAAGAAGCAGTAATGGTGCTTGGAGGAGAATACAGAAGTGTGTCGCTGAGCATCCTGCCTTGTGTTCTTTGCAGTGATGTGAGACAGAGAATTCAACAAAGGATTGCGCAGGCCTTTGGTATCAACTCTGCTTCCATGTACCTGACTAAGCCAACATTCTTCTCGAGGATAAACAACACGGAAGCCAAGACAACACACGATGAATACTGGCACCCCCACGTTGACAAGGTAAGTAGGAGGCTGAGATGGGATGCAAATGTTTCCTGTTATTATTAGATCACTTCAAAGTCATCTTGCATTAAACAGTCAAACATGTTTGAAAACTGCTGCTTGTAAAAGTCCTTTGTGGGATGAGCCTAATGGAAGGATAAGTGGGTTTTAGAAACGCAAGCCAGTACATTCCTTTTTATTTTCTTTACTTTAGTTCTGCTAAAATAAATTGTGTGAATAACTACTTAGGAATCTCTTTTATCAGAAATGTTGATTGAATTGACCTGCACCTATGAAGTGTTTTAGTTTCATCAGACCTGTGTTTCCAGTTAACATGTTGCTCCTTCAGCCAAGTCTAGCAGGAGCTATTTCAAAGTGGTCACTTGGTCACTCTTGTTAGTTGATCTGAGCCTCTTGATAAATGCTTTGTATTTGTATTTCAGTTATATGTGAATTGAGGCTTTTTTTTTTTTTTACTGCATGTTCTTCAATGGTACCATCTTCTGGTAATTCAATCTTTTGTTGTTTTTAGAATGGAAGTATTGTGATATTTTTTTAATTGCCTAGGTCTCTACCTGTAGGCTCATTGCTTAATACATTGGATTTAAATGTCTTTGAGATTAAGTTTATTTCTGAATGTAAATGAGTTCCTAGGTTCTATGGAGCATAGCAGAATACAGGCTAACCAATGAAGAATCAAATAGCAAAAAAAACCAACCCACCCCACAACCAAAAAACCCCCTTCTCTCTCTCTGCAAACAAACAAAAAACCCCAACCCCAGAACACCCACATGTAATGATGCAAAAATCAGAGTCATTCTAGAGTCACGGATCGCCCCACATGGAACTCTTCTGCCGGAGTCTGTGAGTAGTGTGCCTTGAAGTCTATGACCTGAAGATGAAAAATCAAGCAGAAGTATTGCTTGCCTTGAAAACATTTCCTGTAAAAAGTCAATTTGAGGGATGTCTCATGTCTGTTGTTGCTCACAACATTAGTGTGAGCTCCTGTGCCCTTTCTTCTGTAGGCAGAAGCAGCTTAAACTTAGGAAATAATGGTGACAGTGATGATAGGTGATACAGCTGCTGTTTGAAAGAGGAAAGTAATGTAGTGTGGAATTTGTAGTCACGGATATAACAAAGATGAGACCAGCTTTTGGATGCTTCTTGTTTAAAAAAGCTGACATGTAACCTTTGAGTAGGAGTGGACCTAGGACCAGGGGTAGCAGGGGAGGATTTGGAGGTACAAATTGTTCTGACTCGTGCTGGGGGGAACTGGCTGTAGGGGGCAGATTGTGCTGGTGGCGTTCGTAAGAATTCCATCCCCTGTTGTGCTCTTTTCCAAATGAACTAGTGATCGGGTTGTGTGAATTGTCTTAAATTCATAAGCTCCATGTAGTTTTTCCACAGTTTCAAAGAACTGAATTTTGACTGCCACAGGGAAGAGAAAGGACTAGATTTCAATAGCTCATGGCTATTTTCTCCACCTTTTTCTCTCAGCACATACAAAAGTGTATTTTAGAATTCCAGACTCTGATTTATTACTATGATGAGGTTTGTGGCTGCACAAGCATTAAGCTTGCCAATATTTTCATTCTTCTGCATTTATTTTGTGTTGGTAAATGAGTAAGGTGGTTGGATAATCTTACAATTAAGTGTTTCTGCTGAAATATCTCCTAAAATTTTATATTAAAAACCAAATCTTTCTTTCCATGAAGCGCGTTTGTTTCCTTTGTAGAAGCTGCTGCTTTGTTATGGCATCGTGACAGTGCCTGGGCATGACGGACAGCAGGCTGGATGTTTTGCAGCTTTTATCCATCTGTTTTGTCCACATTTTGTTTATTATCTTGCAGGCTGTCTGTTCAGGGAGCAGATACAGCAACTGATTGGCCTTGGCTTTTCTTAACCTCCTCCTCAGCTTCAGAAAAAACAAACCAAGCACAAAACGTGGTCTCTTAAACTTGCTGTGCATGGGCTAAACCATAATAGTTTCTCTATTGAATAATGGGGCAGTCTGATCTATGACAGCAGCGAAGAGAGAGTTATCCCAGTTGGGGCAGTTACCAAATGACTTGTTCATAATCATGAATTGTGTAGAATTTGACACCCCCCACCCTACCCCAAGGTTTGAACCAGGCTGTAAATAGTGTCTGGTAGAGATCCTGTTCACTTCACGTCCATTGTGAAAGTCCAGATTATATCCTCCTCTGTCATTGCTACTGGACACTGCCTGCCTTTGCTTCTGGGAAGTTGCTCACTTGAATTGGCATCAGAGGATTAATTTGAATCCTTTCCTCGCTGCACAAAGAAGCTTCTAATTCCTGTCTCCTCTCTAACTTCTGTTTGTGCGTCAAAAGGTCTGGTATTATTTTTCCCCTTAAGTGCAATTGGAACAGAACTGTCCGGATGTAGCGTTTGCGTAGTGTTTGCCAGATCATGGCGTACAGAAAATGTTACAGTATGGGCAGAAGATATCTCTGTATGTAATCCTAACCTATACTAGGTGTACATTGGGTATATCTGCACTTATATTGTTACGTGTTTAGGAGGTAAAAAATAAGTTTTTAAGGCTGATTAGGCTATGTGGGAGTCCAAATAGAAGGTCAGAAAATATTTCAGATGAGGCTAAATAGGGTAGATGAGTTGTGTAGCTTCACAGTTTGTCTTCTGTGCAGTCATCCTGCCTTGTATTTTTATTTTTCCAACAAACTAAATTTCACTTGCCTCTGGCAGACTGCATGAAAGCATGGAGGAAAAAAAAAAAAGCATTGCTATTGATCTTCGGTAGGGAATAGTTCCCAGATAAGAGCAGTAGTGTTCTTATGTGGCCTTCAAAACAAGGGTGGATACTAGGTTGTTGAGGAAAGATCAATAAAACTCAGGGTGTTTAAATATTTTGCCAATTTGTTGGATGCTTTTTTATCGTATCATTGTTTATGCTTTCCCCTTGGAATAGAGCAAATCACTTCTATGTGTTTCTGCATGGTAATTAAACAGTGAAGGCTGCTCCTAGGAGAGTTCAGCATTTCTTTTTTTCCCTCACCGCTTTCCAAAAGAAAGGTAAAATTAAGCCTTTGAAAAATGAATCTGACACATTTTTTGTTTCAAAGTCTGATGCTGTTGGTTCCAAGATGTAGGCTTCTTACCTTTTTCCTTGTATTGCAGAGTCTATTGCACTTACATTTCTCAGTCGGAATATCCTTGGTTTGCAAGATTTTAACCGCCTAACGGAGTAGCACAGTTCTGTTCTGTCTGTCTGAGGCTTTGGTTGTTTTCCCCTAAAATTTATTTGGTTTTTAGTTACATAAAAATGGAAACCCTGAAATCACTCAAATGACTCATTTAGTCTTGTTGAATTTATAAGCATCTAAATCAAATAAAAAGAGTGTTTAGCTTAAGATGTGGAGTTTCATCTAGGGTGAAATTTGTTTGGAACTGAGGCTTTCAAATGTCAAATAACTGATTTATACTGGGATTGCTGTTGCACAGCAGTGCAGTTTTATAACATTCCCTAATAGAAGTGATGTGGACTTGAAGTTTTCTGCAGTCCCCTGCCTGGGCAAGGATCCTGTCATCCGTCAGAGAATTCTCAGGCTCTGCCATAAAATCAGTTTTGGTTTATTTTCCTTTAATTTCTTCTGTTCGAGCTATTCCAGGACTTCAATGCGAATTTTTATTTTTTTAGCCTATGCTTGTTCGTTATAAGTTTATAGCTTTTTTTTTTTTAATCTCTTCCCATCCCCCTGTATCTATTGCCAACAATCGTTAGCCCTTTTCGCTCTCTCTAAGCTGAACAAGCCAAACCTTCGAGCCTCCTGACCTGTGATACGTTCTCCAGCTCCCGAACCCTCCTAGCAGCCCTCTCTGGCCGTGAGGCTCTCCCTGACAGAAGCTGCCATCTGCTTTAGCAGGCGTTTCACACCTTTTCTTCCCCTCATGTTGTTAGACGTTTAGTGAAATAACGTCGAAAGATCTTACTTTTGGCTTAAGACAGCATCGTCTTTGAAATCTGAGGAAGTTTATTCTTGTATAACAAGAGGTAACAGACTCAAACATGTTACCTCAGCTCACCTACAGCCCCGTAGAATTGAGACGTGCTGTAATTTGGTGTCCCACATTGTCTACTGAGTAGACACTACCAATATACAGAGCATTGGAAGCAGCTGCCAGGGCTGGGTTTTATGAGTGTCTGCACAAAGAGATAGGTGGAGACTTGCAGGAAAAGAGCAGTTTTGACTGTTATTTCAGAAATTGTTATTTCTGCAAGATCATTCGGCCTATGCTGACTGGAACAAGTATGCTTGTATTTTGTTGTGCAGTGGAAAGCAGAGGATGCTGTCCTACATATCTCGTTTGTAACTGCAGGCCTATTGCATGTTCCTCCAGCTGTTTAGTTGTGCATAAATGTGTGTCCCTCAAAAACTCAAGGCTGCCACCCTGCAAAACGTGGCTGGCCAGTTCTGACTATTAGCTGTATTTATAATAATAGCCTTTAAAGAAACATATAAATAGTTATGAGCATGTAACACTGTCTGTGTTTGACCCTTTTGGGTAAAGGGTGCTCAGAAAGAGCACGCTAAAAGTATGAATTGTTCGCAAGGAGATACAGAAGTTTGATTTGCTGTGGCATATATGACTTTAATGACAGCTCTTCTCACTTAGTTTGAAGTTCTGGTTCAGTTAACCTTTCAGGTATTGGAAATTATTACCTGGGTGACAAATACATTTGATATACATGGGGAGACTTCTGGCATTTTAAATAACTGAGTGTAATTTCACGCCTCCTTTCCATAGCGTTGTATTTCCCAGGCCTGGCTGCTTTCTGAGAGTCAGTAATGAAGGAACAGAAAAGCCATTTTCCATCGCATACTTGGTTCCTTAGTTTTCTGTAGAAATTAGATGTTTTAGGCTAAAATGGTTCTTAGTTCAAAATTGGTAAAGGTGCCTTGGAGAGGATGTATAAGTGCACTGATGGAGCAAAAATTGCCACAACACTGAGGAGCTCATAAAACCAATTTTAATGCATTAGGCTTGTAAGTATGGGTTGAGTGAAATTACTGGCTCTGCTACTCACTGACTGGAAGACTTCTTTAAACTGACTGGAAGTTTCATCGTCAAATCAATGAAAAATTGCTTTGCCAAGCTGATTGCACGAGGAGGGCTGTCGAGTGGTGGTTTTGCTGTGCTGTAGCCCCACTTGCTCATTAATTCCCATTCATTGCCTTGTGTTGCTACTAAGGTTTGGGTAGATATGGAGAGAAGGGGGTCACAGAAACGTTTCTCTCATTCTTGTGATTTGGACTGTGTGGTGTAGCATATCACCAGACTTGGCTTATGGTCAAAATAGAGGAAAGAAAAGCCCTTATGGTCAAAATAGAGGAAAGAAAAAAGAGTAAAAATGAAAATGTCTTCCTATTCCATCTGCTGCTGTGTTCTCTCTAGTCATTGCCCTTACAGAATAATATGTACAACTGCTGTTGAGCCAAAATTTAACTGGCACTAATGAATGCAAGTTAAACTGAAACGGAAAATATTTAGAAAACTTCCTAAGTTTGGAAGTAGCACCTACCTCTGACAGTCACCAGGTCAGTCAAAACACTCTGCAAATGCTGTGGATTTATACAGTACCACTGTGCTGCACATTTTGCTGTCTGGCAGTGTGATGCAGAACTTGATTGAGTTGTGATATACTGTAAAGAAAGTGGATTTAAATATATTTGTAATTGTTGGTGACATGTAGATATGAAAATGAAGTATTTTCACAATCAGCTAAACCTAGTGCTAAATATTTAGATAGCTTCACTCTGGGCATTAATATATACTATTTCTTTTCTCCATCTTCAACATACACATTGAGCAAAAATAATACTTTAAAAGGAAGGAAAATCACCTTGTTACACTTAATAATGTGGTGTTTGGTCTGTAGGCTGGGAAGCAGCGGAGACTTTGAAAGTCATATTTGAAGGTTTTTAAACAAAACCTTTGTGGAAGAGTATAGAAGCTTCTCCGAAAAATGCGTGTTTACTTGGAATGTCTGATTTGCTGTACCCTGAAGCTCTTGAATGGTAGCTGGTAAAGGAGCGAAAGATGACGTTTCAAGAAACCTATAACCGCCGTTAATAATGGATGGAATTAATTTGTCAGAGGTTGTTCTTGTGTATTGGGAGCCTCGTGGTGACATGTCTTAAAATAGCATTGAAAGATTTGAGCACTTCTCTGTTTCTGGTAGAATGCAGAGGTGTGACTTGTGACACTTGGGTTTTGCTTGCTGTTCAGTAGGCTTAGGACAACAGGAATCGATAGGTGCACTTTTCAATTATGGTAACTAATAATAGAAATAATAAACTTAACATGCTATTCTTGTGTGTATATATAAAGGTAAGTGTGTGTGTCTATATAAAGAATTTTCTCAGCTTTGAGACCTCTTTGTTAAATACACGAGAACTGGAAGAATGGAAAACCCCATCAGATTCATCTGCTTAATTATTTGTGCTCTGCAGAGATGAGAGAAGAATTTGGTAATTGTGTTATCTTCCCCCTAGGTAACTTATGGCTCGTTTGACTATACCTCGCTGCTCTATCTCTCTGACTACACTGAAGACTTTGGTGGTGGACGGTTTGTGTTTATGGATGCGGGTTCCAACAAGACGATAGAGCCCCGAGCAGGTACGAGTCTTGGGTTTTCCGTGTTGAGTTGGACCACCCTGTGCTGTTTATTAACCAGGGGGGCTGGCGGGTGTAGCGGGGCTTTGTGTCAGCAGTAACTGTGGGATAATGTAGCATTTTGTCATCAGGTTGGTGACATAAAAAGTAAATCAGAAAAGGTTAAAATGGGGCCACAGTCTGAAATGTGTGGAGTTACTCCACACCAAGTGACTCTCAAAAGCTGTAGGGTTTGGAACTGCAGTCCAGTTATGGCAGCTCAACAGGTTGCTGTCTGTCAAGAGCAAAGAAAATGGAGTACAGCAAATCCAAAATCAAGCATTTTATCTTAAGTGAATCCTCTGAAACTAGAATTACTGTGGGGCAGTATGCCTGGGAAGAAAGAGCTCAGCCTTCACTCGTCTGTCTGGCAGGTAAGTACTGAGCGTACAGCAGTGTAAACTTTTATAATGCAAGACCAATCCTGCTTTTGCAGGAACAAAATAGCCAAGGAAAACTTTATATGCCTGCTGTGTTCTGGGTTGGTTGAGTTTTTTTGGTGTTTTTCTCTTCCAAGAGAGACAAGATGGAGATTTAGTAATTTAAAGACAGCCTCAGTCTATTACCCCAAGCAGAACTGACTTCTGACTATTACTGCCTGCAAATGGGAATGGGTGTGGGGTGTCTTTGGTTGATGGATAGTATTGACCCAGTCACCAGTAGTAATAATGGGTTTAGATAAACTCTTGAGATTATCTACATTCTGAGTTTGGTGTTGAGGATTGTATGTTTGATTACTTTTGTGTTTTTGGAAATAAACTCTAAACTGAAAGTGTCACCTTCTGCAAAATGTTGCCACCAGTATTTTGAAAAGGGAACACATTACACTATTTAATTTCCAGATGCAGTTCTAAGATTAACATGTTTTTATTGCTGTAGAAATTGTAATGGAATTCTAGGTGGCTGGGAGGACAGCTGTCTCCTTGCACGGTACAGGGGCACTCGGTTTGGTTGCTGTATGCAACATACCCCAGTCTTAATTTCAAAACGTTTGCAACTGTGAAATTGCTTCCATTCAGCCCCATCCAGTTAATTTTCAGGCTCTGCTCTCTCTTGTTTTTATTTAGAAGGAGGGAGCAGATGAAGTACAGAAAGAATTTATTTTAACAGCACCTGGTTTTGGCCATTCCGTTTCACAGACTGTTGTATTGACAGTGTATGGGCCCCAGAACTGGTTAAACAGACCTTTTAAAACAATGCAAAGCTTGTAGGAGTGGCCTTTTCTGAAAGATCAAATGTCCTACATGTACACAGCAGAAAATTAAGTTTGATGCGTTACACCTTCTAACATACTCCTTTGTCTAAGCACAGTTGCTAGGGGTCCTGTGATTGTGTTACTGCCGGTGGTGCAAGCGAAATAACCACCAGCATCCTCTCAACAAAGGACAAAAGCTTGTCGGAGGTGAAACACAATGTGAAGACAATTGTACTTAGTTTTCCTCTTGCTGGTAAAATGTGGCTTGTGAGGGAATGACCCCAGGGTGTTTCCTCTTGCTGGTCCAAGTTGATGTATTTTTCATGTTCAGGACGTGCCTTTGCAGTGTTTTTACTCTCCTTCCTTCATTATTTTTTTCTTTCTGTTTTATGCTGCTTTTGATCCTTTATGCTTCCCCTGTCACTCCAACCCAACTTTTAAAACCATGTATCGATGAGCTTTTATGCTTCTCACTTAAGAAATTCTGGCTTTTCTTAGAGGCGACTGTCAGAATCACTGGTTTGGATTTAGTGTTTGTCAGATTACACCTTCTCTGTATGGCTGATGCCACTTCAGTTCTGCAGCCTGGCACTTGTCTAAAAAGTTAGTCTGTATTTTGGGAACTCCGGTGCTGTGTGCCAAAAGGAGCACATTCCTTTTTCGGTGAGCACTAATTTGTTAGGGTGTCAGGCTGTACAGAAGGAAACAGAAGGGTGTTGCAGCAGAGCAGTAATTGGAAGTGCAAAAAAAAATAAAAAGGAATTAAAAATAAAACATTGGGATTTCCTGTGTTTTGGAGTGCTGCCTAGGCAAGTCCTGCTGCTGCTTAAGATGTTCCTCTAGCACTTACCATTTAAGGATCAGTTTTAGCCAGACAGCAAAACCTTTTAATAGAACCACAGCCTAATTTTAAAACACTTAGCACTTCTCTGGGTATGTATCGCTGATGGATTGTGAAGAGTCTGTAACTCTTGATTTTTCACATTTGAGTGAAAGACTCTTAATTTGTAGCGTGGTCTATAACATTGCCTAGTTCAATTATTTTTCAAGCACCTCTAGCTTTGAGAAGGAATTACAGCTTATTAACATAGAGAATCTTGAATTTTTTTTTTAACAGACATGAACAAGCCATCACTGTGATGTCAGTTCACACGTACGGACCTTTGGCTAATTCGTAACAGAATGTGGCAGTCAGGAACACATCTTTCTTGTGCCCTGAAGGGCTTCAGAAGTATATATGTGTCTTTTGACTTAAGCCAGGACCTCTGTCTGCTGCAGGAAACTCGCTGTACCATGAGTAAGACAATCTCTGGTGCCAAGTGAAATCTTACTTTGAAAGGAAAACTTTTTTTGGACAAAACTGGTTCTAAAGTAATATTTGTTGCTTTTTAAATAGCTATGTTAATTCTATTTCCAAAATCAAGGTATTCACTTTTTTTTTGTCACTTGCAGCAGGGGTAGCTCTGCCCCAGCGACTAAATGAAATAGAGCAATAGTTAGAATGAGATCCTTCAGAATGAAACCTTCAGCACTTCCAACATGAACTTTCCTTTGCTGACCTGAGACCTGGTTTAGTAATCTTCAGTAGATGCACCAGGATTAAGAAATGGCAGACATCAAGGCATTCTGTTTTCTGATGATAAAATTGATATACTTCCTATACTAAATATAATTGATATACTTCCTATACTAAATTTACCAGCGTAAACTATATTTAAAATTTTCTAATTTTGGAGAGTCTTATGTGAATTTGCAAACTGGCAATATTAGATCACAGACTTCACTGCATGGTAAAAGTGTAGATGAAACCCTGCAGCTGGAATGCAATATCTACCAGCGTTCTTTATTTGCACGTACATTTCTGGGGTTTAAGGTCAGCTTTGTTACGCTTTCTACTCACCAAGGGCTTCATTCCTTATACAAGTTATTATATAAAGGTAGAAGAGAAGGTTGCAATCACTTCTGTGTGTTTGTGGAAGAAAATCTATGGTGCAAAATCTGTGTGCCAGAGACTGAAATGTCACTCTTCCTTGAATATCAAACTTCACATATTTCCATAGCTGTCAGCAGCGTGTGTTTCTGAAAGTGTAAAGAAATTTGAGATGAAGCTATGAGCTATTTGGGAACTTGTGAAGTTGGCTTATCCTTTGTTTAGAATGGAAAAAAGCATGTGCTGAAAGCCAGAGCCATTAGTTTTTCTGGACAAGTAAGGAAAAGCATACATTTAGGAATGGATTAGTAGCTTCTCACAGTGCAGGAGTGGGCTTCAGCCTGTCTGTGCGTACAGTTACCAAGGTAAGTGTAGCTTTATTGCAGATAATCAGATCCTGTAGTCATGAGAGTAAGTGCAGTACTCAAAGTTAAGTGGTAGGAATCTGTCATATCTTCATTTTATTGTACTATGTAAAAAAAAATATAAATCACTTTGGAGGAATTCACTCCTGAAGGCTGAGGGAATGCAGCACCAAGTGCAATGCCATGAAAAGTAAGATTTCCAGATTCAGGAGTCCCCCAAAAGCATTAACAGCAGGTCTTAAAACTGTGTTTAAAGCCTGTATTTAGTACTCTGTCTTTGTATCCTGGAGTAGTGGGTGAGGTTGAATACTGATGTGGAGAACTGGAAGGCAGAGCAGAGGTGATACCCCTCTCCTTCTCCTGGCCGTAAGGAGAAGAAATGGAGCCAAAAGGCCTTGGTGAGACTTGTGGTGATTTGGAGAGAGTAGAGTTAATGCAGTTGGTACTTGTACATCCGTCACTAGGTGTCACACCTTCAGACAGAATGTACAGAGCAGAAATTCCTGTTATTTTGAGCAACCAACTGTGCTGATAGGAGAGAACTCACAGGCAGGAATTGTGTTGAAGTCTAAAAATGCTCCTGTACTTTTAGTGGGAAATGATTAAGTTCACTTTTTTCTGTAAAACTGTAATTGGGAATTTTGCAGACCAGATGCTTCTGAATTTAAAACAGAAGGATTGGTAATACATCTAGAAATTTTAAGCTGACTTTAGGAGAGTTTGCTATGCGAATCAGTGATTTTATTTATAACAGCAAGTAATTTCTATGTCTAGTAAATAAATTTGGGACAAGTTTGAAACTACGCCTCATTAGATACCTGTTACAGTTGTTTGGGTTTTTTTTATTATGGCCATAGGCTTCCTTATGCTTCCCCATTCCACATTTCTTTATAAGTAATTGAATAAGTATATTAAGTCTTACTGTGTGATTACAAAACGTATTACCAGGTTATTTCCCTAATGATATGGTGTTTGCTTTCTTGGACGCTTCACAAGAAAATGGCTTAGTAATTAATCCTAAACAGATGACAAGGATGAGAGCACAGTTGTGTTTGTGCAGTTTCCCTGTCAGCGCTTCTGTCTTGGTGTCATTCACCAGATGAGATGCAGTTTTTCCTGTGTATTTTTTTCCCCCCGAGTAACATTTAGAGCTGATAAATGTTAAGCAGACAGTCAAAGCTTTTGGCGCATAGATCTGTAGTGCCAAATACATAGTTCCTCCTTCCCTTGAATCGGGCAGATGAGTTGCTTCATTTCCTTCTGAGCAGCAGCTCAGGCTTCCCAGTGCTCCCACCCAGCTGCCGTGGACCCCAGGTGGAGGTGAGACCTCTTCCGTTCTCCCAGCCCCGCTTTGCGTCCCTTCCCTGGTGGCAGCCAGTGGTGCCCCTGCCCTCCCCTCGTGTCCAGTGGCTGTTGTGGAGGAGAGTGAGGGGACGGTTATCGTGCCTTTGCTTGCATGAGGGGGTGTTGGCTGAAATCGCTTTAACACGATTTGCCGTTTCTCTTTGTCCTCATGACCCAGAACGTTTACAAGGGAACTAGAAAGGCCAGAAAGATGCTGCCAGGCAAGCAGAAGGGGTAGTCTCATGCGAAGGATGGGAGCATGAAGGGGCTTGGAATCCAGCGGCACAACAGGCGTGCCACAAACAAAGTGATTGCCAGAGCTGTCATTGATGTGAATGGCCTGTTCTGGGTGTAATCAGAATAACTGAGAGTGGAAGGGACCTCTGGAGGGCAGCTACTTCATGCTCCCTGCTCAGAAATCAAGCACGGGAGACAGGGGGTAGCAAAATACATGTGTTGGAGACATACCTGGGAAACATCGGTATCTAATGATAGAACCCTCTCGTATATGCTGATGATACAGCCCTGAGCAACCGGATGGAACTGGGAAGTTGGGTATGATTTAGCAGTTGGCCTCGATTTGAGAAAGGCAACTGGACTAGATGACTTTCCAAGGTCTCTTCCAACCCAAGTTATGCAATGAATTTATAATATTAGAGGTATAATAATCGTGTAGTATTTTTCTTATGAGGATTGGGGTATGTTAATATTTGTGTGGTTCTCAAAGTCCTTTTGTGTGTTCCCTACATCTTGTTATAATTTAATCTGACAAGCCTTACTACTTTTTTCCTTGTCAGAATAAGAACAGAGGATTTTTTTTTTTCAATACTTGTAAAACAAGTAAAACCTTGTTAGAATAGGACAGCACTAGCTTCATTTTAGAGGCAAGGAAGCAAATGAGAGTGATTTTTGTGGAGTCACAGTTGCATATCAAGGACATAGTTGTAATTGAAAACTTTCCTCTTATCTATATTGCCTCACAGCACAGGGGTTAGGTGGCGAACTGTAGGCAGCTTGTTGAGGGAAGTGCAACTGAATGTTAAGATTCAACATGGATAAAGTCTCTTGAAAGCAATCCTTATGCGAATACTGACATTTTTAGTATGATATATAGCTAAATGCATGATACTTTCCCACCTGTTTGCTGCTTCTTGCGGTGGTTATATTTTTCTGAGTACATCTAAAAAATTCATTGCTTAGGGGCAATTATGAATGTGATTAAAACAAAAGCAGGGAAAAGCAAAAGCTCATAGCTCATACACGTACTCCTTTAGTGTGCTTTTGCCACTTGTTAAGTATTATACCTGAAAACATTTGCATCATCTGAATTAGGATCACAAAATTCGTAACAGTGGAGCTTGTGTGTCTTCATAAATAATGTTTCTGGTCGATCAGTGCAAAAATTGAATCTCAAAAAATTGAGAGAAATGGTTACCTCCTAATATGATTAAGGTCCTGCTTCCTGTAAGAAGAGCGAGAGCTTTCCTGTTTTTCATATCACAAGCTTTTCTTAGCCTGACAGCATTAAAAACTTGACTTGTGTCAGTGACACCAAAGACCAGGCTCAAGTTTTGATGGACGCTGTGGTGCTGAGCTTGATACAGGTTCCTTGTGCCAGGCCTCCGTGAGAGGGTGGTGTGATTTAAATAAGTTCACACTGGAGTTTTCCGTGACAGTAGGTCTTTCATCCTTGACAGTTAAAAGTACTAAATGCTCTGGTGCGAGGCACTGATTGCTGTGGCTTGCTCTGCCTGATGGACTCCTCAGGGAATGGAAAGTGGAGGTGTGCAGGAGAGGACAGATAGAAGACGTGCGGGCAGCCCACGGTTCCTTGTGACTTACGGATCTGAAACCCTTCTCTGAGGTTGAGGTACTGGTCAAAGCATCATGAAACTAAAAAGCGATGGACTTTATTGCACCTTGCAGTGGTCGGGGAAAATGAGTTAAACATTTGCAATCGGGATGAAATACTTCCCAGAATATAGATTTATCTTGGTGGAAAAAACCCCAAACCAAACATTCCTAGCTTTTTACTGTTGGCATCACTTCTCACCCCAAGACACCTCTATTGTAATCTTCATCCTTCCCAGTGTAGCTCAGGACTGGCCTCTTTCCAAAAGCTTAAAAGCATGGACCTCAAAGCAAGAGATGATACAATGGATATTTCTTCTGTTCCGAAGGACCGGGGATTAAACACTTTCTCTTTTTTTGGTTAGATAGCATGCTATAAAATTGTATTGAGTAGTAGCCTGTGATCTCAAAAAAAGCTTATACTTAAGTGTTCATAAATCAAACTGAAATTATGTGCTGGGAGGTAGTAGTCAAGATTTCTTTAGTGGAGCAGGAAAGCGTGTTGGAAAGAAATCTGTGCAAGCAGGTCAGAGGAGGGGAGAATAAAATGAAAAGATCGATTTGAGGCCATTGTTAAATCGTGAAAGAAAAGGGCAAAGGAAATGGGATTAGAATTTTACACTTTCTCCTGAGCTTTTGTCACTCAAAAATGTTTCATCACGAAATTGTAAGCACATACATACTTTAATCTGCAGTGAATGGTTGCATAGCCATTCTTTAGCAGTTGTAGTACAACACCAGTCTCTTTATAAAAAGCTCAGCGTTCACTCTATCAATATTTCATAGTCTGGAGAGCTTGGAACTGCCCTGTGCATGTTTTCCTCGCCATTAGCAATGAGAGAAATCCTGTCACAGCTACGTTAGTTGTGGAGGTGTGACATGTTAAAGTGCACTTTGAACACCTGGAATGCAGTCTCACAGCTAAAACCAGACCCATATTGTGTGTGATCCTACTGAGTTGCTAATATGGTTCATAACTTGGAGCTTTGGGGTTTAAAAATCTTAATTCAAAAAATGAGCAAAAAAAAATAAAATAGCTAGACCAAGGAGAGGTTATGAATGAGGAGCAGGTCTGTGCTTTAACAGACTTGCTTAGTTATGACCTACTTGCTTTTTGGAGTGGTTTCTGTATACTGTGTACTGAACAAGATTATGAAGGGTCTAGTCTTGGTATGCTCAAAAGTTGTAGAAGTCATCCAGTTTTATCTTTTGTCGTTCCCCAGGATCTTCTGCATAATGCCATGTATTCCTTAAAGTTTTTGTTATGAGATGAACATGAGATGAAAACAGTCTACAGGCTTGTTCAGTGACTCGAAGACCCCAGTTGACAGATGTGGGACCAGATGCACAAGACCTATAAGATACTCATATTTATTAAAGAAAGAAATTAAAAGTTGTTCTGTATAGCCAAAAAACCCAGTTTAAGTGGCTTAAACAATACATTGAAACTTGTCTAACTCTGAATTGCTACTACTTCTAGCAAGAGGTCAAACGAAAAAAGCTTGAAAATCAGTTTAAGGCAAAGCTTTGGGTGAGTAGGTGAGGGATTGATAGTAAAGTATTTGAATGATTATATTAATATAAAATTTAAAAGAAAAATTACTTCACGATACAGGGACTTTGTGTGAAATCCTTGAGGTTGTTCATTGCAACACTTGGAGTACACTGCCTTCATTCAGTCTTTCATACAGAAAAGCAGGACACCAAGGTGTAAATGAGCTGTACATAAGAATGAGTAACTTTATATGTATAGCTTTACCAATTATTGATGTGCAGCCATGGGTGGGGAAGAGTATGATATGACTTCTGCTTGGCACTTATGAAAGACTCTAAACTATGAAAGATTAAATATGAACTGCAGCTGAACTCACAAGGGACACAGAAACTACTCAAACAGACTTCAAAGATTAGTGGGTAAACCGAGCTCCTCGAGGCCAGTCCGGTTCTTCTCAGATCTCTCATGTGTGCTGCTTGGTAATGTGCAAGCAAAGTAACTTCTGGATCTTTTGGATTACTTTGGAAGAGAAAACCAGCTACGTGTCTGGTGCCCATTTCTGCAGTGTAACGGTTGGAATAGTTTATCTTGTTTGTTGCGCAGATTTTAAGTAGGCATTTAAGTGTTTTATTCTGCATGATTGTGAATGAGTCCCAGACAGAGTTAGATTGTCAATATGAGTTCCCTATTATAAGTTCAAATTTAATCTAATTTGACTAGTGGAAAAGAAGCCTGTGTAGGAAAACCATATGCTATTGGCATAAACCAGCTGTGCACACGAGTACGACTGGCTTTCTCAGGAGAACTTGAGCAGTCCTGCAGAGTTGCATCAGTTCTGAGTTACTCGCTAAACATCAAACTCTTCCGTCCTTACAACAGTTTAATAATATGAAAGTGCAGAGGGCTCCATTCTGCTGTTTCACCGAGTGAGATACCAACAGGTCTCTGCTGTCATCATCAAAGTCACTGATGCCACTTAAGGCCCAGAGAACCCCCACGGCAGGGTGGGTCAAAGCTTGGACAGGATAAAGCACAGGAGTAAGCACTTACATCTAGAAAACCATTTCCAAGCCAATGCACTGGAGTGGCTTTTTCTAAGGAGAATTAACTTGTGTTACTGATACATAACTTTCTAACCTGACTGAACAGCAAGTGATCAGACTGTGCACAAGAAGCTAGAGCAAATATTTGGTACAATGCTGATAAGCTGCCGCAGCTGCTTGTAAACCTGCTGAGCATTTTTTTTTTTTTTTTCACTGAAGACTTTTTGCCACCTTTGTAGCACTTCTTCCTTCTTTGGTCTAAAATTAGCCCAGACTAGAAGGGGAGCAGGGAGGAGATCAATGCACTTTGCTGACAGTCACTAGAGTTGCAGTTTTCTGGTTTGTTTTAATTGCAACAACTAAGAACTGGCTTCAGATGTTCTTGGCTTCCTTCTGCCTTTTATAAACTATGAGATACAGTGGAATTATGTCTCCAGCTTTGTAGCGCAAAGGATTAACGTATGCTTTAAACAGTGCATAAAGCTGTCGGAGTGCGGCGTAAGCTCATAACAGTTTGTCTTTGTGATGGCCTGTGGGCTCTCGGGTGGCCAGGGAGCAGTTGGACCGAGACAACAGCAAAACTGCAGAGAGCTGATAGCTGAGTGGCAAACGCCGTGTCACTGATTCAATTCTTTGTCTCTACAGGCCGGGTTTCCTTTTTCACCTCTGGATCGGAGAACCTTCACCGTGTGGAAAAGGTTCGCTGGGGCACTCGCTATGCCATCACCATCTCCTTCACTTGCAACCCAGACCATGCCATTGGGGATCCAGTCTTGGTGTAATTCCTCTGGGAATGGAACACGAGGTCAAATGGAATGAGAGAAGCCCTGCAGGAGGAGAGGAAAAAGGGACAAAACATCTCTTGTAACCTCACATTCAGTTAGAATTTCCCAGCTGTATTAGTGTACCGTAATACACTTTGGTTTTGCATTTCCTTTTCTACAAATGTTGCAAATGGTGCCTTAAAGACCATCTAAAATATGGTGTATTCTGAAAATGGTTTCTGCTTGTCCTAAAGGGTTAGGCTACACAGAAGAGTTCCAGAGTGGGCTCTTTATTTTTTTAAAAACTTTTTTTTTTAAATTCTTGAGTTTAAGATACAATCTTTTGGACCATATCTTGATATGACTCCCCATGTTGCTGTTAAATTATTTAATCTCTTCAATTACTAATGCAATGTAGAAAGTTTGACCTAAGTTAATCAAGCAAGATGAGTGTTACTCTTTTGAACATACCTTCTGTTGAGAGGGATATATTCTCCTTAGCATGGTCACTAGTGGGGCAATACACCTGTGGTTTGACTACTGGGACTTACTTGAATTTTGTCTGTTGATTTACTACAGATATTTGCTGCTACAGACAGGGACTAGTTAATACAAGGTCAGAAATACAATTCTCTGGCCAGAAAGCCTGTTGCTTTTGGATTACAAATGCTTTGTGTCACTGCATTAGATCCCTTTGATCAGAATGCAGCGTTCCCAGCTCGCCTGGTTTTCTTTGGGTCTTAATGAAATTGGTCAGTCGTCTCCTGGTTGGAAGCCTGAGCTTCGGCTGATTAAGAGCTCTTTCTGGAGACAGCTTGTCCATGTAGATCTGTATGATAAGTACATACCTCTGCCCAGCCCTCCTTTTTAATAATCAGGCAGTGCTCTGGATTCATCCGAGCATTCATCAGTACCCAGGTAAGGCAGGAGGATTTGGCAGGGGCACAGCTGAGAGAACAGTTAGTTTTATTGCGACTTTCCATATTGCCTGTTCTGGCCTCCTTAGACTCAATCCCGTAAAGCTGGGCTGGCTAACAAAACCACGTGGAGCAGTGGGCTGTGGTGTGCGGGGTCTGAGGGAAGTTGGTGTCCACCTACAACTTAAATTGATCTGGTCTCAAGCTGGAGTGTGATTGTAAAGCACTTGAAAACATTTATTTATTGAGCCTAAATGTTATCTTAAAACCAATTTGAAGGAATTGTTCCTGTTGCCACAACTACAAATCTAGTTTTGTGAAATGCTGTGTCTCTTAGCGTGTCCAAAACACTGTGTTACCTGTTTCAAAAAGTCTCTCAATAGCTCTTTCTGGATTTCTCTTTCAGTTTAGTATGAAGATATTTTTTTTTCCTGTTAACTAGGACCATTAGTCTGTGGTGTTCCTTAAATAATAAATTGCAAGGACTTCAGAGAAGGGGATGTTTCCATTGCACTACAGATAAAATAACAATTAAATGCATAATTTTGCCAATTACTTTGCCTTTTTTTTATTACTTATAAAGATCCTTGTGGGTCGGTGCATTGATAAGTAAATTGTTAGAAAAGCTAATTTCTTTCTTTCTCAATCCAATTCTGAAGCAAATGCGTTGATTTGTTTTATTAATACTCTATATAATTTTGGTGAAACAATCTGGAAATGTGCTTTAACTTAATTTTATGCATACAGTTTTCACTTTTGAATGTGCGCTTTTATGGAAATAATAAGTATTGGTGGAGATTACGCTGAAGATTAATATAAAGAGGAATGATGACAGGACTCTTGGACTTGTTCTGTTGTGAATGATCTCATTTGGCACACCAGCAAGATTAATCTTCTGTAATTTCATTTCTTTGTTCTCGAACCTGAAAAAGGCTTCCTTGTCCATGCTAACAAGGAAGAATTGTTAAAATGGGTGGATGCTGCAAATAATAAAATCGGTTGGGTTCCATATCTAAATACTTGTCTCAAACCTGTCTGTTCCAGGAAATCTGTGTTGCACCTGAGTTGTAAGTCTGTGTGAAAGCAGATCAAGATCACCAGTAATTGCTTTACTCCCTTAAAACTTGATTCCCAGTGTTACCTTGAGATTTGTTACCTTGTTGGGGCCTTTTCCACAAAAATACCTGCTAACAGTGGGATCGCAATGTGAATGGTCCTGTGTGGCTTTGGGGTGGGATTCTCCAGGTTGAGGTTTTGAGCTCCAAAATTAAGTTTGCCGTAGATATTGTTGCTGTTCTGTGGCACTGTCGTATAAATTACTTTGCCACTTTTAAAAGGGTTTGTTGGTTACTTCTGTCTGTCGTGGAGGCTTTGAGTTGCACTAAATGAAAATGGAACTGAAGAGCTGCCCTCTCAAATACCGCTCCACAAGTTCATGCTGGACCATGGGGGAAATCTCAGCTAATCTCCTCTTGGATTTTTCATTTTTTGAAGATCCTGTGTGTTCTAATAATCTCCCAAACGTGGTGCATCTCCTGTGCTATGAATTGATGGTTGTTCAGAAATAAAATCGAGTTGCTATTTGTCTTTTGGGGTTTTTAAGCCTCAGTAGTGTTCAGTATGATCACCAAACCTGTCAGCTACTTCTGGAAAAATGTGCTGTACCTGGTAAGATAATTCATCTTTTGAAAGTGTAATAATTGGATAGGCTGTATGTTTCAGTACCAGCCACGATTTTTTTTTTTTCATTTGAGGCTTCAATATCCAGACATCTAAAAGCAGTATCTAGATCTATGAAAAAATTAAATCACAAATGAGGAAGTACAGCGTAATCTAAAAGATTCTGAACGTAGCCTCCAGCGGGAGAACAGTAATTACAGAAGGGCTGATGTTCCTGGGGCAGAGTGGAATTTGCAGAATTCACTGATCATTAGAAATAAACTTGGCTTAATTTATTCTGGTCTGCTTAAATACCCTGAATAACTTTTTATTAAGGGTATCTCTTCCTGGTTCTTGACAGCTGATTCTGAATCTGAAGAGCTTTAATCCCTGTCTGTCCTCTCTCAGGTTCAGCCTGCCTGTCGCCCCTGGGAAGTGCGGTGCTCTGTGCCCTAGAGCTCTGATTGTGCCGAGGACAGGATTTGTCCCGTTAAACTCGTGTAAACCTGATGCTGAGCTGCTGCAGATGAGGGCTCTTAACTGAGCGTGAGGTGATGTTTTTCCAGTCATGCGAGAATCTTTGGGAAGAGCCCTCATGGTTCAAACAAAGAAAGGTCGGTATGTGTTCAGTGTGAATTGGGGCAAAGTCCTGATGTTAAATTTACAGCCTTGTACCTTGAAAGCATCCTTGTTCCAAGTATTTGGGAATGTTTATTTGTATTTTGAAAGAAAAATATTTGTAAGGAAAGGAAAAGCTTGCTAGTGCGGAAAGATCCAGGGTGAAATAGAAAATACGGCGGGAGGGCAGGCCAGGGTTTGCATCCCTACTAAGAGATTGAGTGAAGCTTCCTGAAGGCTTCTGCGAAATTGTGCTGCTCTTAAAACTGTCTTTCCGTTCAGAGGTTTTGGGCAGTATCAGGAACTCTTGTAAAACTAACCAGTATATTTAAATTAAACAGGTTGAATAAAATTAGCTTTCAGTCCTGTAGCAGGTATTTTATTTTAATTATTTTATCCCCATGACAGGATTCTAGGAACTGAGTGCACTTTTTTGGCATTTCTTGTATATAAAATTTTCATTGGGTGAGCAGTTGTGGAATCATGGTTTTAATTCCTCATAAATGGTAGGGCACATCTATATTGAGATTTTCCTGAGTAGTTATTGTCCACCTGAAATAGTCTAAGCTCTGCCTTAATGAATTTAAGTCTAGAAATGTTTACCAGGATATTCTATTTACAAAATGACTTTATTTTGGAATTATAACGGAAATTTAGCTTCATGTCTTATGTTTTTATTTACAAGGTCAACATCTCAGCAGGCTGTAGCACATAATGATGCACAGACTAAAGAAGCGTAGCTGACATTGCGTTGATAATGACTGTGCTGTCAAGAAAATACGGTTTTTGGGTTTTTTCCAATTGTAATTTTTAGTATGTTTGAATTTCTCCTATTACAGCTTTTCTTTCCACAGTAAATAGATGGTTTTGTTTTCAGAGTTCCACACGTCCCTTCCACATCCAGCTATCCTTACACAGCGTTTACATGTAGATCGGATCTCTCTGGCATGCTCGTGTGTAGCTTTGTGCTGTATTTTGGTCTTGTCTTTATTCTAGGAACAAACCCAAGAAATGTTGTTAGAGGTCAGGGCTCTTTGGGGGGCGAACAAAACAACCACCAACCACCCTCCTCCTCTTCCTTCCCCCAGACAGGAGGAAAAAAAACCAAAACAAACCCTCAGCTCCTGTCTCTCCTTTTTGAGTCTTCTGTGAGGAAATCCAACCGAACCTTCCAAGATCAGCAGAAGAGTTATTTCCTTTCTGAACCACAGATGGCTCTGGCATGCACCGCTCATCTTAGCCTCATTCAGAAAAGCAATCTCAGGAAATCTGGCTCGGAGCCATCACAAAGCAGCGAGTGTCTTTTGCTCCTTGTAAAATACCGTGAAGAGCTATAGCATACTCTGCCTTAACTCTGCTTTTGTAAACTTTCTTAGGAAGCTGAAAGCTAATTTTATGTTTGTCAAAGCCTGCCAGTCAGCTCTCTTTTAATGATCATCAGTTCATCCCTAAAATAGCTGTGTAGGCATTTTTTTATCTTCCATATGAGTGTTGGTGGCTTGTACTAAAGCTTTTCAGGATGGACTGTCCAAGGAAAATAACTCGGTCCTTCTTCCAAACTGCACATCTTTCTTTGATTCTGTCCAGCATCAGCCCCTAAATCACTTAGTTCATCTCTCAAGTCTATTCCAGAATACTGAACTTTTACCTGTAGCATATATTGAATGTGGTGTATAAGCTCAGTCCATTATTTATTCATAGACTGGCTGGCTAGAACTGAAAAGGAATCAGCTTTTCCCCTCTAACCCTTTTAGCCCATGCAGCACATTAATCTTTAAGAAGAATTTCTACTGGTAGTGAAGTGTCAAGTGTGGCTCAATTTTT